TCGTCGAAATATCCTGGATCATACAAGCCACAGTTAAAACAGGTTTTTCTACTACACATATATATTTTTACAGCAGTAATGATTGCTTAATTGATTTAATTCTAAAATAAATAATAGCCCGATAGAAAAACTCTTGGAAACTATTCTATAGCTGTGATTACCAATATGGGAATAACCTGGTCGTTATTGATAAAATGGATTACGATCGTTAATTATGCGTAGACAACTATACCAATCACTTTGGGTAAGAACTGCACACGAATCAATAGAACGAATTATGGAGTATGATGGTAGAAGATCACGTATTGGTGAATACTAAAACAATGTAAGCTTTTAACTGCAAAATAAATGAAATTACACTATACTAATTTACATTTGAAACACTGTAAACCGTGGCTGCCTCTGTATACAAGTGCTTCATTATCAGAGGATTGATTAACAAAAATATGAGAGCAATTGCAACTAGAACCATATATTGAAAGACACCAGCACAACAAATTCTAAATGGAAAAAAAGAAATAAAAAAATATTTCTTTATTTCTAAACAAATAATTTTTTTACCTTAGCTACAGCGCGACTTCTTTCCAACAAAGTGCTTGATCTTTGTTTTAGTTCATTACTCCAACGTTTTAGGAATAATCGTAACCATTCTATTCCTGGATAACCAGTCCGAAATTTTGAACACGAACCAGCTTCACGTATAAACTTTTTCGTTAAATCTATGGTTTCTCTACGTGTACGAGGAAAACCCCAGTCATCAAACATTGCCAGCATTTTCACAATCAAGGCTTCTTGATCTTTGCTCAGAATGTTTTGCTGACCAGCACCAACATTAAGATTATATAGAGCATGCTTACGAATAGTAGACGATGGTATTTTGTATTTTTTCCTGGCTTTCCAAGATGACATCTTTCCACTTTTCGCCAGTGCTATGGCTTCATGAAGCTTGTTTATATCATATTGTTGTTTTGTATTCAGCTTTTTCCAATTTCGTACCATGTTTTAATTAATTACAGTTATAAAGATCAAATGTTTTCAAGCACAAGAAGATACAAAGGTGTGATTTTTTCGTTCCATACATATCCAATGTTTACAAAACTTTATGTAACAGAACAGGTCTTTTATCATATGCATCATTTATTCCCTTCATACGACTATTAATAAGCCGAATATCAAGATTTTGTGTCCAGTTTTGAGTGAAGATAATATTAAGGATGGGTAATATCTGAACTGCGCCAAGGACAGGTGAAATGTCCAATAAAAAGCAGAACAGATTCACTTTACAAATTCAATATTTCAGATGACCTAACAATTCAATGACGC